ATATGGTCGAATTCATTTCAATTCACAAATCCTGGAACTATAATCATATGATTCTATAATAATTCATAAAATGTATAATTCTTGTACAAAGAAACATTGGATATTGACAAATATATCACAAATTACAAAAGTTATATCTTGATCCTTCTAGGAAAATGCATAATTAGGCTTCGATTTTAAATGACAATAATTAATAGGAAACGGCGAATATTGAAATATTATACCCTTATTTGCAAAAAATTACTAATAAATAAATGTTTTTTTAAGCTGAAGCGATATTTACTGAAGTGTTTAAAAAGTGTTAGAGAATAAAAAAAAAATTTGCGTTTCCTTCATTTTCCAAAGATATTTTATTTATTTAGATTAAAGCCGTTGAATTATGATGAACTGGTGATGAGTTCTCTAATAAACATTCGTACTCAAGTTTTATTTTCTTCAACTTTTATTCAACTTTAAAAATAACTTATGTCTAAATCGGGATTGGCCAACGTTTTTTCAAAGGCGCAATTAAAATAAATTCCAACTGAAGATCTTTAGAACCTATACGTTTAGTAAACTTTAATATATAAAGTAACCTAAATAGATTTTATAGAAGTATTGTAATGACAAGTAATATGATTTTTACGATTAATAATTTGAATTTTTTAAATAAACTCGAAAAAATCTAAAGTTTGTATGTAGTTTCTACAGCTATCTTCAAGAGAAGGGGTGCGCTTGAAATGAATTGGTCATCCCTGGTCTAAATAATATAGCAATAACGATAAAGTCAAATCGATCACCTCACCACGCGAATGAAAGTAAATAATGAGATAAAAACAGATGATAATAAAGAACGGGCTAATGGAGAAGTGGTTCTCAAATGGCGTGGCGGGGCCATCCACTGGGGCGTAGACAATTTTTCGAGGGGACGTGAAGCTGCCTGAAACAAAAAAATATTTAATATATTTGATCTTGCCCGTCTTATTTTGGACAATCACATTTCTTTATTTTAGATATTATGCTCCATTAACGTATTTTTAATGTGTTTTTCGAATCAGACATACTTTCGCATTACTATCAGGTAATTGTAGCATAGTGTTAGCTTCTTATGTTTGTGGTGGGCGCCAGACTTGACAAATTCTTTAATAGGGGCGCGACTTAAAAAGTTTGAGAACCACTGTAACAGAGCGTGATCAAATAGCTAAACTTGTCAACAGTTTCAGTATCAATACCAAAATCAGTTGCAGTTAAACCGTTTTTCCCGCAGTTGTGTGCAACCAATTTCAAGTCAATTATTTTCAAGCACGTGCCTCGCATATATATTTCATGTTTTTGGTGCACGAAATATCGTTCAACTGCCATATATAAAGCCAGAAATGTACACAATCTTCATCACCACCCGAATTACTTGGCTCTTCTGCATTCCAATCCGTGTTATCTTCAGTTGAATCTACGCCATCAGCCCAGATGAATTTACCTTCGAGTTTTTTCAAACCAATCCAAGTGTGATCGTTGCCAGCTTTGATCAATGGCATTATTTTGCTGCAACAAAAATAACAACAAATTAACATAGTTTATTTGATTGTTTCGGCTATTTCGTCATTTTATCATATGCATACCGATCCACTGGCGAATAGATATAGAGCAAGGTAACGTAAATATTTTTGGCGTACCCTCAACTAATAGTTTAATTCAGCATAATAATCTAACATCCAACTTTTGCCACTTGGTACAACACCAGAATTAATGCAATTGTAAGTAATGAGGTGTCTAATCTTATGCACAAGCTAGCTGTTAGTTAGGGAATTGTAACCTCGTGGACATAGATAATGCAACGCAAAGAGATTGGAATTACTCTCACCTGATTAAACTAAACTAAATTCGTTTCGCGGGCAGCACAGCATTGAATATTGGCACCTCACCGCGAGCTGCACAACTTTTTCTTGATGGCCACATTTGGCTCGTGGGACGCAGATTGCACACCCGTGACTAAGCCGAACGTTTGAACACTAGGTCGCGGTCCTCTTTTGTAAAACCAGTCTAATTTGAAGAAAATTCGCAAGTCTTACATATATACGTGAATAGAACAATGTTGTTTTCACATCGACCTCCTGGTAGGCCTAGTTGCTCGATGTTCTACTAAGTACATAGTTTATTGAAAATTTTTGTATTTTTTGAACAAATTTCTTTAATGTAAAACACAAAATTTGCCTACCACACATCATCAATTAATAGTTAGCAACGATGTAGGCTATGGCACAAAATACATCTTCTTTCTCGTCATATTCATACGCTATTCGTTCCGAATAAGGCTCTTCACAGGCAGTCCTGATATGTAAAAGGTTAGTTATTTTTTGAAAGACTGGAATTCCAATTTTACTACTCCGTGAATGAGGTGGTGGACTGGGATTCAAATCTGAAATTTTGACCTGTGATGTCATCATAGTTTAGTCCAAGGGTGTGCAACCTATACAGGAGGGCCAGATACAAATAAGTGAGTAAAACCGCCGCAATTTTGGCGTTTGATCTTATGCACAAAGCTAGCTGTTAAGGCATTGTGACGTCATAGGCATAGTTAATGCAACGTAAAGAGATGGGAATTTTTTTCATCTGGTTGAACTAAATTAAATTCGTTTCGCGGGCCGTACAGCTTGAGTATTAGCTCCTCACCGCGGGCTGCACAATTTTTTTCTTGTGAGCCACATTTGTCCCGAGTGCAAAGACTGCGCACCAATGATTTAGTCGAACGCTTTGGCCACTTGGCCACGGCACTCACCATAAATCTTATCTCACATAAATCGGAAGAAAAAATAAATTTAAAAATAACTTTTGGCTCCAGAAAATACCGATCCACTTGTGCAAAGGTATATTTAAAAAAAATCTAATAAGACTCTCGTAACCCCAATTAATAATTAGAAGAAATTCAAGTTTAAATACCCCAATCACCTGAGGATGGTAGGGTTTCTAACGCCAGCAGATGCCAGATCCGCTCCTTGTTTTTGGCAGTTTGATTTTGCTGTTGCGTAATTGACTCGATCATTGAATAATTTGTAGTAAAAGCCGTGGCTTGCTTGGTACCAGCCTTTGAATTCTGTTTAAACACGAATAAATAACCATAATATGTAGATGTTTCTTTTATTGATAACATTCGTCTTAGCGGTGCGCGCATCGTGCTAAGTATGACCACGCCGCCGCGTCACTAATAGCACTGTACGGTTTTGCAGGTTCGAATTCCGTGGAGATGATTCATTGCGAGAAGAGTGCGGGACTCTTTGGCATCGTAAGGTTTTTTACGCTCGGTCACGACTTCCTCCTTTCAGTCCATGTATCCAGAACGAATGACTTGTTGACTATTCCCACACCCAACATGATATGGTAACCAGACTAGAAGTAGTAGTATATCATTGCTGTATTATCGGCTTTTCTCTTTCTCGAGATAAACCAAAAAACCCAACACAAAAACAGTTTCAGTATGAATTCAATTTAAAATGAGATAAATAGTTCACCTTTCGCTTTGACACGTTTTCTCAGTTGTCTCAGAACATCTATAAATAAAGGTTGAAGTTTAAGTTGGAAAAATGTGAGAGTGTTTATTTTTTATTGTCAAATCACAAAAGCCTAATTTTATAAGTGATCTAGCTTGTTACTAGGTGCTGAGATATAAATATTTGCAACACTTTGAATTTAACATCACCGCTCATAATGATCGGAATCTAATAGAAATATAAATTTACCTGCAGTACTGGGGTTGTTACAATCTCCAACAGAAACCCAGCGTCCATTCTTCCATTTTGTATAACAATGACCATCTGAATATAAATACGCATGATACGTATTTAGATATGACATGGCCCAGCAAAATACTCAGAATATTACTTATTTTTATACGTAGTGTATGTACCAGGCTATAGTTGGGCCATAATTTTATTCCGATTTTTCTTATTTTAGTTCTATTACGAGTTCGGGAACTGTCTGTGTTAGCAAAGTAAATATCCCCCTGCCCATAGGTTTCAGCGCCTTTACACAACTTAATGCGAAGTAGGCGAACAAAATTAGTTCCCTCCATACTTCCGGATCGCTCCGAACAAGGCCTTACACAAGAAGCCACTGCTATGTAAAGACCATAATCTATCAAATTCGCCATAGAGCAGGGTCGTCCAACCTTTTTTGCTGAAGTGCCACATGTAGTTTACAATAATTGCGCGACAATAAAACAGAATTGACAATAAAACTGTTTGGTTCCAAAACCATTGTTTTCATCACAGCTGCCAACTAATCAATGCCTCTAGTCGTTTCCTCAATTAGGACAATGGCTGTGAGCTCTTCGTAATTTCAAAACCACCATTTAACTCCCCGAACGAAGATCGCCAACTGACCAATAGACTTGATGTCTATAGTGCTTTCGTCAAGCGCCAAGGAATACGATGAAAACTTTCACGCTTTTGCAATTAAAGTTTCCGCTATATAATTCTCAAACTCTTAGACACGACGAGAAGGGTCTGTCTTGACAGGCTTATTTATGCAAACACTTTGAAACATTGGCAACTCGAACAACGAATTCTCATAAAGAGTAGGACGAGACCAGGTGTGTAAGCGGCTATGGCATCTTTATGTATACATATCTCCTCCAAGTTGGTTTCAATTCAAAATGGCTCTCATGGCTCGTTTGAAATGGCTGGCAGAGCGCATTTCAGGAAAATAAACGAATCGTTTGTAAAACATCTTTGTATACTACATCACTCGAAAAATACTTTTACCCAATAATTTTTTATTTAATTCCGAAAAATACAGCGCGGGCCACTCGAAATGCCTCCGCGGGCCACATATGGCCAGTGGGCCACGGGTTGGAGGACCCTGCCATAGGGTATTCAATTTATTATGCACTGGGTGGGGTGGGGGTCTGCCATAACAACATAGTTAAGTCTAACGCTTTAATCGCTTAGCCACCGCCAGCCCACTCGTGCTTACTTATCACAAAAATATAAAAAAAAAAAAAAAAAATATTTGAAAATAAAAAATTACCTCCCCCAGCCAACGATGTATCGATGATGAACAGGCAAATCGTTCCTATAATGTAGAGATTCATTTTCTCAATAACTTTTTAATCTAATTTACTTTTGTAAGTAGCGTTTCAAAGTCCACTCGCTTTATATCTGAAATTAATTTAATTCACATAAACATATTTCACAAAATCTATGTAAATTGATTTTATGTTTTTTTGTTATTAAATTCTGGAAGTTGAGAATTTTTACATTTTATTTATAACTCAAAGAAAAATTGATGTAGGCTACTGGGTATGAGACGAATCTCTTTAGTCTAGAATGCAACATTTGCGCTATACAAAACAGTACCATATGTTTGTTTCCATACTAAAATTTTTATATTGCATAAAAGTATTCACCTCAATCTAGCAAGTCGGGATGATCATTTTGAATAGAATAATTGGATTAAATCGAATAGTCAATTATTCGAATCGATTCAGGCGAAAACTTCGAATCACCGCCATTTTGGGAGATGAATTCCTCATTTTTTTTTCATTGGAACCATATTTATACAATGCAATTCTGGCATATGACTCAAATCCGAGAGTTCGTATTATTGTATGCATATTGTTCAAATATAATTACATTGACATAATATATTTAAGTGTGTCCACGAGTGTTCTGTTGTTGGTAAATGATTCCTCGAGCGTCTGGAATTTTCATTGAGGTTCTGTTCCAATAAAAAGGTTGAAATCCATTATGAAAGAGTGGCCATGGGTTGAACATTTAATGTTTCGATCTTTTTTCGATACCTTTATTCAATCATTGTATTGGAATTACCAGATAAAATATAGCAGAAATACATATGCGACACATACAAAGCGTAATGCAGTGATACCTTGTAAATTTTACTCTTAACGGGGGCGGCATGGGGTTAGGAAAGTTGACTTAACATTCGAACTTAAATACTGACACTCATTAGCTATGGAGTTCTCGCGTTAAACTTTCCAAATGTATACTTATTATTTACCGTTCCTAACAGTACCGTAATTTCCCGAAAATAAGACCTATATTTTAATAGCCCTCGGCTGAAAATAAGACATAGTTCAGGGATGGCCAACCAGTTAGAGACCAAGAGCCGCATTTCGTACTTCATTACCGCGAAAAGACACATTATAAACAACAACACACATGAACATCAGATATACCTTTATTCAGCTCTGCTAGAATGCTAGTTTATTATAAAAGTCACTAACCATCACGATTATGACAAAAATTTAGAAGAAGCCATTTATTGTCATGCCTGCTACTTAGTGAGACTTCTGGCATTCCTTGTCGAGTAACACAATCGATACCAGCTTATCTGACTTGAGGTCTCAAGCCTAGACTAAATGAAGTTTTCCTCTGGTGAACCACGAAAAGCTACACTGCTTGCAAACATTGTCACAGACGGTGGGAGTATAAGTATAAGTATTCACAAGATGGAAATTAATTACGGCACATTCCGATTAGGACTGGGCATATCGAATCGAATTGTAAATTATTCAAATCGGTTCAGACGGAAATTTCAAATCGCCGATAAAAGGTCGGGTTAATTGTTTTAGTTTTTTTTTCATTGAAGCCATATTTTTACAATGTGATTTTGACTTATGACTGTTTTATTTCTCTGTGAAATATTGATAAAACATGTTTCCTATTAGGTGTGAACACTCAGCAAACTGTCTGAAGGATGGATTTTATGCTTTCGGTAATTTATGTGCTTGGTGGACCCATCGCAATAATAATGCACATGCGTTGAAAATCTTCAAGATTCATTTCAAAAAAAAAATTCGAACAAGTAGCTTCCGCGTCATTTTTCTTTATGCACTTACCGCTTTATCTTCAAATATTTGTTGGCAAAAAACAGCCCATTTCCCAAAAATCACTTTTTAATTTTTGTTTTCAACTCGTTCAAAGACTCATATGGTGAGCAAAAGCCCCTTGTTCGATTACCTGTTTAGGCTGTCTTGCCTAAGTCTCTCTAGTCTAGTCGATCTTCTGAGAATCGCGGACTTCAATCCTGGAGAAAACCGTAATTTACCGAGGGTTACGTGAACCCCACTCCGTGATCTTTCATTGATGTCATATACCAACAGTTTATATCACTACCGGTTTATACTCACGTAGAATGTTGATCCGTCATGGTCTTATTGTTGCGCTCGATTCTATGTAGCCTGGTTACTTCTCACGCACATTAAGAGATTGGAGACTTCAAAAACGCGTCCCAATACCCCAGTCCTGACCCCAAACCTATATCGGTTAATTGTTACAACTAGTCCGTGCTTTCAAGCAATTAAAGTCTGTAAACAGCGGTTAAAGTGCCCCCAGATTCTTCTGTGCCTTTCAAATGCTGCCCCAATATAATTCAACTTGAAATCGGTGAATATCTTTAATAACAATCAACAGACACTTCAAATCAAATCTCGTACATGAATCAGGAAAATAGAACTTGTCGGGTACCGGAAACGAAACGTTGTTAATGGAACGTAACGTAAATCTTGATACCGGGTATGAGGAACGTAAAGGAACGTTGTTAATGGAACGGTTTTCTGCCAAAATAATAGATAAAACTAAATAGCTTATATGGCACAATTAATCAAATATAACAACATTACCATTTTACAAGCAATAACAATTCACATCAATTAGCAGATAACCATATGTCACAATTATGTACAGATTAAATCACATAGGATAAAATAGTATTCACAATACTAAAATACAGAATAAATCATACAAGATAAACAATATTTACATACCGAATGTTTAGGATCTCCAGGCAACTCAATTCAACAATTTATAATCCAAAGTAAATACAACTTAACTTATGTGACTAAATACAAGAAACGGCATTTATCATTCTATTTGGACTATATTACAACCCTAACCTGTATCCCTACATTATATTACAACTCCAGTATGAACCGTTGATTTTAAACCCAATTAATAACTTCAATTCAAATCGTTTATCCTAACCGCGAATAGTAAACCCAATATTAAACACGATAAACAACTCCTAGCGCAATAGATTACACTGTATACAAGGACAGAAGGTGCCAACTCATCGAAGCAGCGTGGCGATAATTTAGAATTCCCGGGATTAATCGAGAAACAGGACTCTGTCGCAATAATGCTGCGTCGATACGTTTGCAACGTCTGCGTAACAACGTAAAACGTCATCAAATTAGAAACATGTTATGATTCTCGCTAACATTCCCCGCCCCAGATGTAGGAACGAAGAGAATACATCTTACAATTCAAAAAGAAAAAGTGAGAATCATCACCAATAAGTAATACAACTAACAATGAATTACTCATCAGCTCTCTGAATCATACAAAGTTTTGCTATTGGTCTTCTTAAAAACCCATGTGAAGTTTTGACAGTCACTTGTCTGACAGCTCCAAATTTGTCTGGTATAACTTCCATAATTCTGCCTGTCAGCCACTTCCCTCTTGGTATTGTGTCGTCAACCAGTAGCACAAGATCATTGACTTTGAAATTGTCTTCCTTCTTCAACCATTTATGTCGAGCTTGTAGATTGACAAGTACTTCTCTGGACCATCTTATCCAGAATTGGTCAGCCAAATATTGTATTTGACGCCATCTTCTTCTCGCATAACAATCTTTCTTGTCAAATATTCCTGGTGGTAAATTTGCTTTATGCTTCAGCAACAATAAATGATTTGGTGAAAGTGGTTCTTCATCCAAAGGATCCATACTAATAGGTGTAAGTGGTCTTGAATTCAATTGACTTTCAACTTCACAAAATATAGTAGACAACGCTTCATCAGTAACCAATTGATCATGCAATAATGCAGTCAATATCTTTCTTGCTGATCTGATGAGTCTTTCATAGAAACCTCCAAAGTGTGAAGCTGTGGGAGGATTGAACTTGAATATGATATCACTTTGTCTGCAAAATTCTCCCATTTTACTGGAATTCCAAATTTGAATTTCTTTCTTCAATACTTTATTTCCAGCTGTAAAATTGCTCCCATTATCACATATAATGGTTGACATCTTGCCTCTTCTGGCAATGAATCTTCTTAATCCATTAATAAATGAATTGACATCCATACTATGCACAATTTCCAAATGCACTGCTCTAGTTGTTGCACAGGTTAATATCAAGCCCCATCTCTTCACAGAACTTCTTCCTTGCTTCACCAACAACGGTCCGAAGTTGTCAACTCCAACACATGTGAATGGTGGTTGATCTGGTGTCACACGCTCTTTAGGTAGGTCAGCCATAAATTGCTTACCCATCGAAGCATTTCTCTTTTTGCAAAAAATGCAATTACGAATATTTCGCTTTACAACAACAGCTCCATTGATAATCCAGAACTTCTGTCTCAGCAAATTCCATGTATGACTTGCTCCACAATGATGTGAACTTTTATGGTATTCTCTGACAATCAACTGTGTGATGTGATGGTTACTTGGCAGTATTATTGGATGTTTCAAATCAAATTCTATGGGTGCGTTTTGCAATCTTCCACCCACTCTCAATATTCCTTCAATTAAAACAGGATTCAACTTTTGCATTGAAGGTGCAATTTTCAAATTTCTAAGCACACTTTTCCCTTGTACATCAGAATTTTGTAGCTTTGCAATAACTTTATTCAACTCACTATTTTGTAAATACTTTATCAGCTCATTTTCGGATCTTCTCAACTCTTCTGTTTGCAATTCACCCTTTTGAACAGTTGGTTTAGCTTGTAAATAAATTTTGAATCTGATAATCCATGCTGTAGCTTTCTTCAACTTATACCATGAAGAATAATAGTTGATAAACTTGTCCAAAGGTTCATTCTCTGTCACTAGATTAATTAGGACATTCATTGGCTTTTTCTGAATAAATTCCAATGGTAAATCTGGTAATTTAACTGGCATTTGTGGCCAGTTCTCTTCATTCTGGTAGAGAAATTCTGGTCCTTGTAACCATGATTTCTTTGCAATCAATTTCTTGCTGTCATTCCACGGGATGCATAATCCGCTGGGTTTCAATTCACTTGGAACATAACGCCATTGATGTGGCTCTGAACCTTCTTCAATTTTTGCTAATCGGTTAGCTATGAAAGTAGGAAATCTTTTCGACGAATTGTAAATTGATTGAATAGTAGCTGTGCTATCACTCCAGAATATAGATTTAACCTTCTTCTCAAATTTTAAATGACGTCTTAAAAACATATCCACTCGCACACAAAGCGCAGCAGTGTAATTTCCAGCCGTGGAAGTGAACATATTGTCTTGATAGGACACAATCTTGATTTTCCAAGTAAAAATTGAACAGTGTATCTGATTGTTTTCAATCTGATAACCTCAAATATGAAAACTGATCCATAGGCAACTTGTGATGCCATCGCCAAAATGATGTAATTCTTGTGAAACAATAACCCCCAAAATGAATTCGGTTTAATGTATCTTGGTAATTTGACTTCTGATAATTCTGGAATTGCTTTAGTCCAGCTTTCCCATGCTATTTGTTCATTTTCTCCGATAGTTTCATCCCATCCCAATTGTTGGCGACATAACTCTTGCTTGCAATATCACAGGTGATACAATACCCATGGGATCAAATACGGAACTAAGAATTGCTAGAACTCCTCTTTTCGTAGCAGGTTTTGTCTTCAGCTTTGTATTAAATCCAAAGCAATCTTCTATCACGAACCACACAACTCCCAAAACTCGTTCAAAACGATTTGGGTCTAAATTTACGTTTGCTTGAATTTGTGCTCTATCCTTTTCTGGAACACAAGAAATAATTTTCTTCTGAATTACCTCCTCCATTTGTTTAAATGAAAACCTCCACATTCAGTAAGTTCTGGAGGTTTGCTTGACAATTCTCTTCCCTTAGATATACTATCTGCTCCAAGTAGGAAGTCATGCTATAATATGAATTATCTTCAATATTGTCACTTATATCTGATGGAAGTCTTTTTCCAATAATCCTCTGCGTTCTCCTTAAACAGTAATTTTGGCACAAAATGGACCGTTGATGTATTTCCAAAACATGCACCTAACATCTGATGATCGATAGGAGTTTTTGTCAAAATCTTCCATCAGGCCAAAATAGGAATTCCAATGCAGTCGAACATCCCTAGGCGTTACAACGAGCTTGTAAGAACATGCTTCTGAATCTGCAGTTATGGAGCCATATTTGTACATTCTGAAACGTAAGCATAAACCAGATAACCATCCTATTTGCCATATCTGGACCTCTGCATGTAATTGATCATTCAGTGATGTGTTCAAATAATCTTGCATCCCTGCATCAAATACCAGGCGTACTTTACCCAGGTTCTGTTCTGATGTAAACCGGGTCATGATGAGGAGATACCACGCTTTACCAATGGGTGCTTCAAATTCAGCAGCAGGAATTTTCCTTGCCCATCCTTTCTTTATAAATTCAGCCATGGTACTGCAATATTTGTCCCTTAAAACATCATTCCTCAACAAGCGTTTTCCCAAATTGTTGGTTCTTCTCATAACTGCATCACGATTATTAGGAAATTTCAGGACATCCGGTTTCCATGGTAACGGAGATTGGTAATGTCCATCCACCATCTTTATATTATCTTCCATCAGTTGTAATGCATACTTATCTTCTCTTGACAATGTTGGTGTGGGAGTCAATGATATATCTTTGAAATCCGTTTCCCACATCTCTCGAATTTGTTGTTGAAGATCTTCACTTTTCACTTCAACATGATTAACATGTACATGAAAACTTTCATTCCCAGAAGCTTTATTAAAGGCAGGCCCGACCAGTGACCAACCAAGAATACTTCTTTTTGCAACTGGTTCATTTGTAGTACCACGCTTTCATCTTTACCCAGAATACTTCAGGTACATTCACGCCAATCATGAGCATCACTCTTTCATCTGGTAATTTTGGAAATTCAATACCCTCGAGATATTCATGCCTTTGTAATTCAATCCTTTTAGGTAATTTATTCGGTACTGTCGGAATTTCATCCACAGTGAGCACACGATGTAATGTCACACAACCTTCCCCTTTCAGTGGTTTAACAGTTAAGTCAAGAGCGAATCCATCTTGTTTCTGTGGATTCGGTGTGTTTACAGTAGTAATGGAATAACTCATTGGTTCACCATCCATCTCTAAAAGTTCCATCAATCTTTTATCACATAGACAAGAGGTGCTTCCCTCGTCTAGGAAACAGTATACTTCAATTTCTCTACCTTGAGGTGAGGATACTTTCACTGGAACTATATTCAAGTATACTCCAGCTGAATTTCTGGTATAGTTCGTTAAGGTCGATCCCGATGTAGCAGTTTGAGTAGCGGAACTTGTACTTTGCTCTTTTCGCTTAGTATCTGCAACATTTCGATGAAGCATTCTATGATGTCTGCCACCACATCCTCTCTCAGTACATGCAGGATTCTTACGACATTGCCGTGCCATATGACCAATGTATAAACAGTTTCTGCAAATATGAAATTCACGAATTGTAGCCTCGCGTTCACTTGCAGATTTTCTTTCAAACTCTGGACAATGAATAAGGAAGATGATCTTTTGAACAGATAACACATCTGTATCTATTTCTCACAAATGTACCTTTTCTCTCCGGTAGATTGTTCAGGTTTGCCATCACCACTTGTTGAAGTGGAATTTGCATAAATTCTTCTTTTGGGGTGTTTAGCCTTTTCCCTCTCTTTATGAGCTCTCATAGCTTTTGCCCCATCGATGATTGTGCCGTAATTGCTGCTTTCTTGACAAACTTTAAAAGATGTTCAAATTTTAGTTCAATGTTTCTATTCTCATAATCTGCTGCCTCTTCTTCCCATTTATTATGGTACTTTAGGGGTAATCTACATGAAAGTTGAGCAATATTTGTCAAAATTATTTAGATCTGAATATTGCTTCCAATGCGACAGCGTTAGGTAACATTCTTCCATTTTATGAGAAAGATCCAGAAGACTATCTCGATCATCTGGTTTCAACATTGGACCATGTATTAACTCTTCCATATAAGTTCTGGCAATCAACAATGGTCTTCCGTAAGCTTCTCTTAGAAGTCTCTTTGCTAAAGTCAATCCTTCTGTAGGAGGATATACAGAACATTGACGAATCAATTCTCTTGCTTTACCTTTGCAAAACTGTTGCAAGTAAGTCAATCTCAGATTGTCATCTGAAATCTTGTTCTCAATATTTATCTTGAAACTATTCATGAATCTTGTATATTCTTCATGAGAACCATGAAACGAAAGTAATTCTGGTTTAGGTAAATCTACCATGTCACGCATTGTAGATGTCATAGTAGCAAGAATTGTGCCAACATCTTGTGATGGCATATTAGGTAATTCTACAGGACTCACCAAATTAGCCTGTCTCGTTCCACCTTGTCTAGTTCGAAATTCTTGATTAACGGGATTCATCACTTCCGCAACCACTTCCTGGACCGGATCCAGGGATAATCTAACTTGTGGCTCTCTAGGAGGCACAATACAATTGGTTTGACCCACTTGAGGTGTGTTTACTTCAGCCCGTGCTGCTTCACATTCTACCAATTGTGCTATCGGTGGTCCAGAATCCATTTCTTGAACTGAACCCTTTCATTTGCGATTAGAGCCTATTTCCCACACTTCCGCCTCTACACATGCGGCTTGATATTCGTGTATAGCTTGTACTCGCCTTATTTCTCTCTCTGATGCTGATTTTAATTCTTCAGCTTGCCGATTCATTTCTTCAGTATTTCGTTCAGCCTGTTCTAGCTCTGACAGTTGCTTCATTTTCAATTTTGCAAGTTCTCTGACAGCTATTGCCTCAGTTCTCTTGTAACTGGAACTTGTACTTTGTAACTCGATGCTGTCCTTGCAGATCGAGGTCTTGACATATTAGATGATTTTCTACTAGCTATAGATTGTGGTTTTGATGGAGGATTCTCAACGATTTGTGTGCTTTCTTGTCTGGAAAGCCACTCTTCAACATGTGCTTTGAACTCTTCATATCCATAACTTTCTCTCTGGAAAGATTCTCTAGCTACTCTTTGAGCCTCTTCATCTACTGGCAGTTCTGCAACATGTATTTCATAAGCTTTAGAATACTCCACAAACATTGCATCTATTTCTTTCACTTGTGATTGTAGAATCTCCTTATTTTTTGGATTCAACATCAATTCTTCTGCTGATCTATACTGACCATTCAGATCAGCCAATAAACGTTCCAGTTCTTCCTGTGAAACTGGTTTTGCAGCCATTTCGACTTTTAAGTGACTTTCTTCACTCAATCTAGGATCAATTGAAAAGTTTGATATCTTTCAATTGCTGCTTACAATACTCTGGTTTGATTTCGAAATAGAAAACTTCAGTTTTCCTTCATTCGAAAACTTTAATGTTGCGCTCGATTCTATGTAGCCTGGTTACTTCTCACGCACATTAAGAGATTGGAGACTTCAAAAACGCGTCCCAATACCCCAGTCCTGACCCCAAACCTATATCGGTTAATTGTTACAACTAGTCCGTGCTTTCAAGCAATTAAAGTCTGTAAACAGCGGTTAAAGTGCCCCCAGATTCTTCTGTGCCTTTCAAATGCTGCCCCAATATAATTCAACTTGAAATCGGTGAATATCTTTAATAACAATCAACAGACACTTCAAATCAAATCTCGTACATGAATCAGGAAAATAGAACTTGTCGGGTACCGGAAACGAAACGTTGTTAATGGAACGTAACGTAAATCTGATACCGGGTATGAGGAACGTAAAGGAACGTTGTTAATGGAACGGTTTTCTGCCAAAATAATAGATAAAACTAAATAGCTTATATGGCACAATTAATCAAATATAACAACATTACCATTTTACAAGCAATAACAATTCACATCAATTAGCAGATAACCATATGTCACAATTATGTACAGATTAAATCACATAGGATAAAATAGTATTCACAATACTAAAATACAGAATAAATCATACAAGATAAACAATATTTACATACCGAATGTTTAGGATCTCCAGGCAACTCAATTCAACAATTTATAATCCAAAGTAAATACAACTTAACTTATGTGACTAAATACAGAAATACAAGAAACGGCATTTATCATTCTATTTGGACTATATTACAACCCTAACCTGTATCCCTACATTATATTACAACTCCAGTATGAACCGTTGATTTTAAACCCAATTAATAACTTCAATTCAAATCGTTTATCCTAACCGCGAATAGTAAACCCAATATTAAACACGATAAACAACTCCTAGCGCAATAGATTA